TAATTATAAATGACTTATAGGATGTTCTGATGCAAGCAGTTAAGCAACATGGTGTGGAAGTTAAAGATCTCTGGGTTAAGAGATTGGAAGAATCATATGAAACTGTGGCATCTGCTCTCCAGAGGTTTATAGTTCCAGATTGCACAGAGCAACGGGCGGATAAATTATGTGAAGAGGTTGAAGATGATGTTATGGAAATACCCCAAAATGATATGCTATATTGTGGAGATTTGGAAAATGACAAGTTTGAAAAGCTGGGAAAGGAAGCTGTAACAGATTTGGTTATGGTTCTGGTGTACTTCCCTGTTGAAATTTTGAGAAAAAAAAGCTTATATAGAATTAATTTACGGGTCGTGCATTAGAGAAAACCAGCTGAAGATGTTGTTGTTCGTGTCTTTGGAAGAAGCTTACAGGCTTACTACTTGCAAAAATTTCGGACACGTTATAAAATGTAAAAGGAAGACTTACTGATCTTGAAGGTTGATTTTGTATCAGTGATGTGAAAAAGAATGAAAAACTGGGGGGAGATGCAAAATGGAGAGCTGGGATAGACTAATAAGGAATGTTTTTGAAGCTTATATCTTTAAATTTTTGGATTAATACTATGGTTTGAATTTGTTATAAGACATTAGATGATTAATGATATATAATTATATTATTTTAAAGGATTTAAATTTTGTATTTAATGGAACTATGATTATAAAAGAAATGGTAAAGTTATTAAAAATCTATAAACCTAAACCCCTTCTACCTATTAATATAAAACTCAAAACCACAATTTTATCTCATATTAAAAACAAAAAAATAATAAACTCAATTTCAAAGAAAATATTAACTAACGAAATGCTCCACACAAATTAGGACATTAATCAAGACCCTTCAGCCCCTCCCCTAATTCCCCTTTAATATTTAACTACAGTTTAATTATTATAGGTTTATAATGGAATTGTATTAATAAGAGGATATACTCGGCTAGTACCCCAATCTGCACTCGATGAGGTGGTTAAGAAGGCGGAGGGGATGTAGGGAGTGGCAAGAAGGAAGGAGGAGAGGTTGTGGGTTTAGGGGGAGGAAGGAGAGGAAAGTGGATGAGGATGGAGGCAGGGCGGGGACTGCCGAGCGTATCCGAAAATGTTTTGAGTAACATTATTTTTATTTCTTGCTGGTGTATGTAGATGCATCATTTGTATTTGTTGTTCAATTAAAAATAATCAAAATTTTATGAAAAAAAAAAAGATGAGACAGTTTACCTGTCCAAAGGATTTACTATCTATTGCAACCCAAACTACCAATCCACAATTGCTATATCTGCAATTGTCTTATTAAAATTCAATAATTAGTGATGTATTTGGTCTCCCTTGAGTCCTCTCTAATGACAGTGCATTTGGGTTAATGCATTGTATACTATAGGCCACCCAACCAAACAGAGGAAATACATGAATTTTTTGCTAGTCAGTTAACTAAGGTATGTAGGAAGCACATCATGGGGGACTTTAATTACCCTGACATCAACTGGGAGACAAACTCTGCACCAAGTGGAAGATCAAGCAGATTCCTGACAAACCTAGCTGACAACTTTGTCTCTCAAAAAGTAGAGAAGGGAACTAGGGGATCAGCCATATTGGACTTAATTCTCACTAATAGAGATGAAATGATAGAAGGTGTTGAAGCTATATGAACCTTGGAGGGAGGGATTAAGCAATACTGGAATTCAACATTATGCAAAAACAAGCAATAGAACATAGTCAAACTAGAGTCTTGGACTTTAAGGGAGCTAATTTCAATAAACTTAGAGAGAGATTGGGAAGGATTCCATGGATAAGAATTCTCATGGGGAAAAACAACTCAAGAAGCTTGGGAAATTTTGAAAAGTGAGATTATAAAAGCCCAGGCTAGCATGATACCAATGAAGTAGAAAAATAACAGCTCTCAAAAGAAACCAGCTTGGCTGCATAAAGAACTCTCTGATAAATTGATAAACAAAAAGGATAAGTATAAAGAAGTGGAAAGAGGGGCATATAACTAAGGCAGAATATCAGCAAATAGCCCGAGCCTGCAAAGATGAAGTGAGGAAAGCTAAGGCTCAAAGTGAATTAAGGCTTGCAACAAAAGTAAAAAAAAAATAACAAAAAAAGCTTATTTCAACATGTAAAAAACAAGAAAAAAATTAGGAAATGATTGGTCCATTAATGGGAGAGGTGGCAAGAAGGTGACAAGCAACAGGGAGAAAGCAGAACTATTTAACTTGTTTTTTGCACCCATCTCTACACAAAGGAAAAAACAATCTAACTGATCAAAAACAGTACTGTAAAAAACAGATTAGAAACACAGGTTAAGATAGGCAAGAAAATGGTAAGTGAGCACCTGTCCATCCTAGATGAGTTCAAATCACCAGGACCAGATGGACCACAACCTACTACTTGATAAGATAGAAAAATGTGGGTTAGATAGCATCACCACCAGATGGATTCGTAGCTGGCTGACCGGCTGTACTCAGCGTGTAGTCCTCAATGGAATTGAATCTACATGGAGGGAAGTGTGTAGTGGAGTGCCCCAGGGCTCTCTTCTGGGCCCAGTGCTCTTCAACATCATCAATGATTTGGATGATGGGATAGATGGGGAACTCATTAAATTTGCAGACAACACCAAGCTGGCAGGAATAGGCAACACTCCAGAAGACAGGCTTAACATACAGAAGGGTCTTGACAGACTTGAACACTGGGCGCTATCTAACAAAATGAAATTCAATGGTGAAAAAAGTAAGGTTCTACATCTAGGCAAGAAAAAACAAATGCACAGGTACAGTATAGGTGGTACCTTGCTCAATAGTAGTAACTGTGACAGGGACCTCGGAGTCCTAGTGGACAATCACCTAAATATGAGCCAGCAGTGTGCTGCAGCTGCCAAAAAGGCCAACACAGTGCTAGGCTGCATTAACAGAGGGATAGAATCAAGATCACGTGAAGTGTTAATACCACTTTACAATGCCTTGGTAAGGCCACACTTTAAATACTGCATCCAGTTTTGGTCACCACGATGTAAAAAAGATGTTGAGACTCTAGAAAGAGTACAGAAAAGAGCAACAAAGATGATTAGGGGACTGGAACTAAAACATATAAAGAATGGTTGCTGGAATTGGTTATGTCTACTTTAATGAAGAGGATGAGGGGTGACATGATAACATTATTCCAATATCTCAGGGGTGGCCACAAGGAAGAGGGAGTCAAGCTATTCTCCAAAGTACCTGAAGGCAGGACAAGAAGCAAGGGATGGAAACTAATCAAGGAGAGAAGCAACCTAGAACTAAGAGGAAATTTCCTGACAGTTAGAACAATTAATCAGTTGAACAACTTGCTTCCAGATGTTGTGAATGCTCCAACATTGGAAGTTTTTAAGAAGAGACTGGACAACCATTTGTCTAAAATGGTATAGGGCTTCTTGCCTGAGCAAAGGACTGGACTAGAAGATCTCCAAGGTCCCAACTCTATCATTATTATTGTTGTGTTGTTGTTACACGTAACAGCTACAATAAGGCATGGCTTATATGAACTGAAGCCGAAATATACCACAGTTTTTAATGTACTCTGATCTAAAGTCACAAATGTAAAGAGCCCTAGAAATTATTGCACATTTTCCAGATTTTTCTTCTTTGCACTTGTAAATTGAAATGGATAAATATGAATCTGATTTGGAGGGGGGGCTCAAACATATGATTAATTTTACATGAATCTAGCAAAGCACTTTAAGCAACTAAAATCTTGACAAATGATGCTTTCTCTATTGTTGCACTTTGTGCGCTAATAAATAAAATTAAAAAATATAAACTGTTTGGCTTTTTAACTGTGCCGTTGTCAATCTCTTTTACGGAGAGTTAGGAGAGACAGTCCCTATGTGACCTGGCTTCTGCATCACTCAACCTGGTGGATCAGTTGTCTCTTATACTAGGTGTCATCAAAATGTTTGGAGAAACAGTGGGCTCATTTAAGATGAGTTCCAGTGAAATTCTTCTGGGTGCAGCAACTGCTGATTCAGCCTAGGGAGTGAATGGTGCAATCAATCTTGAAGTAATCTTTGCACATAGACCATCATTTGTTCACATGCAAATATCTAAATTGCTTTGGGCCTCCATTCCACCAAGAAACAGGCTATAGGAACTGCTGCAGTAGCATTTACTTTGATTTCCACAACTAGTTTGGGATATATTTTTTTTAGAAAAATATATTAAATTTATATTGATGATTTAGGAGAAAAAAGTTATTCATGTTTTTTTGCCACTGATTTGCCACAGCCCTCTCATTGTGCCTTCAGATCTCTAATTTAGATTCTTCAAGGCATTTTAGACCCATGTTCTGAACCTCTACATGTTGTGTTGAAAATTGGATGATGAAGAAGGTATGTTTGCAATCTTGAATTATTTTCTAAAGATGGAAGAAAAATAATAAAATAACCTAGTAGAGTCTAACGCCTGGATGGAAAGATCCACGTAGTTTCCTTGGCATAAGGTACAAATATTTCAATCCCACCTTCTTTCAGGACGCTTTTCTCTAATTTCAATCCAGCCTTTCAATCGGTCTTTCAATCCAGCCTTTCAATTGGTCTTGCAATCCAGGACTCATCCCGTTTAAGCTGAGCTTAGTTCAGTCAAAACCTGCAAGGATAGCCTTTTATTGCTAGTCTCTGGACAGTGCGATTAATAAAAGGTACAAGTCAGAGCACGTTGAACCCTTTTGCGAGTCTCTCAGTATTTCTTTGCCAACCGCGATAAGGGAAAAAGTTCCGTTTTCCAAGGAATCATGACACTTCCCTTTCCGATTCCGCGGGCGAGAACCCTTCCCTGCCAGCCACTTCTGCACATGCTCAGTGCAAAGGGTTGGGCAAGCTAACGCCGGCGGCTGTAAGCCGACGCCCTGGAGGCGTCCTTTTAAAGGCACGGCGAAACCCGACCGCTCTTCTACACCACGAATCGCATTCACACTTCGTCCGGCCGCTCGCCCCCCCCCGCCCCTCCCGCCTGGGAGGATATTGCAAAGAGGGAGACATGGGAGAAAGGAAGTTTGCAGCAAGCGCCTGAAGCAATTCCGCCCCGGCCTGCAGGTTGCAAACTCTTTTATAGAGGGCTGGCCGCGGAAGAACCTCTCTTTTCGGCCTCTTTCCAGTTAGTGAACAGACTCCTCTCTAGGTAAAAAGAGCCCTCAGCCGCGATTGGCATTCAGCATTGCAGGGAAAGTTGCCAGCTGGCTTTAAGGGAGGCGTGGATTGGTGGTCCCAGGAAGTTTAAAGGGCTAGTCGTGAACATCTGCCCTTTCCACGTCTGGATTTCTTTCCTGCCCTTCCTCCTTCCCTCTCTAGGGGGTTTTCACCCCCTTCTTCCTTTTGAAGGGGCGGTGTGCGGTTAGGTTGTTGAGTCAACCCAGGCAGGGAAGAACCTAAAACATTATTCATTTTGCTTCTTCCAGGATTTATTGCAGCTTCGCTGGCCTTTCTCTCCAGCCAGACGTCTCCGGTAACTGCCCTAGCAGCCCAGAATACTTACCTTTTCCAGGTACAACCATTGTACGTTTCTCTCTGGCCTCTTCTGGAGGTGCCACAGGTGAGATTGACATAAAGGGCTGATTGACAGTTTGCTGGGGCTCTCTTGGTTGGCACATTGTTGTACGAATACTTAACATATGCCGGTGGTAAGAGTCGATGCAGCTGTACAGTTGCGTTGAGTAGAGGAGTACCCACCCCCTATCTGGCAGAATGAAAAACCTAATAGAATTTAATAAAATTGTTATTTTCCTACTCTATCTTATATATGCTGCGAGGGCAGGGACTTAGGATAGCTGTTCTTGTTCTTTAATATGGGAGCTAGCATTTGATTTTTCTAAAACTTCTTGATTACCCTGCAGTGAATAGACAGACATTTGCTTGAATAACAGGAAAGTGATAAAAATTTCAGTGGAAGCTGTGCTAGACATATTGGGAGACAAACCTGAAGTCTGTTATTGACTGTATTTGTTAACTAAGAGCTACAAAATAGCATCCGACTTTTTGGGATTCTCCGAAATAATTCATTAAGACAAGAGGTAGATTTATGCAGTTATCTAGACTCTTATTATTTAAAAGACACCTCTATCTTCTTAACTATTCTTTTGATCTTCATGTGTGTTTTGCTGTTTAGCACATGCATCTGATTACTTGATATTTTGAGACAGCCTGTTTGTAGTGTTGCTATAAAATAGGGTCTCATCTAAGTCCACAGACAGAAGTTTCATTGTCTGACTTGAAAGATGACCATTTTTCTCTGCTTTCTTTAGATTTTCTTTTTTATATGAGCATTTATATTACCTAATATATGTACTTTAATACATATTAAATGCTATGGTATCTTGGACAATATTGATGCATTCAGAAGACTGAGTAGGCCAGTGGTTCTCAACCTATGGTCCACAGACCCCTGGGGGGGCACAATGTCATCACGGGTGTGTGTGTGTAAGCGAAGGCTTGAAGAAAGGTTATTTGATTTAAATCTTGAGTTTAAGTCTTAGGGCTCTGTGGTCATGGTCTATGGCCACAAAAGATATTTAAAGGGGGTCCATGGTGAAGAAAGGTTGAGAAACCCTGGAGTAGGTGATTAATGTAAAAAAAAAAGTACATAGTAAAATGAATCAAGGCCTTGGATAATAATTTCTGATTAAACTATATGACAGGTACTTTATAGCAGAGATCCCCAACCCTGGCCCACTATCAGGCTATGGCCTATTCAGAAACAGGATGCACGAGGGTAAGCGGTGGGCACGCACGTGCACGGCTTGACTTACAAGAGTGGCAGATCAGCGCACATGCACACACTGCAGAGTTCAACTTGCACAAGTCGAGCTGCACACGCATGTGTGTGCTGGCCTGCAGATTGTGCAAGTTGAGCTGTGCATGTGCACCGACCTGCCATTCGTACAGCCTTGTTCCCCTCTCCCCCCCCATCCCCAACTGGGCCTCCAAGTTGCAAAAGTTGAGGAGTGCTGCTTTATAGCCTGGGTGTGTAAAAGAGGAATGTTTGATTATTGGCTGTAAAACTGATAAGTTGCCTTCCTGAGGATTTTAAGAATTAAAGCCAAAGAACAGTCAGGGAAGTTAGACAACAGTGATTCTCCAATGCTTTATTTTTTTTTCTTTTTAAATATTGGTGTTTAACCACTTTTTTTTATCCCTTGGAATCAACTTTGATTCCTGGTGACTACCTTGACAAATCCCTGCTGTTTTCTGGACAAAGCTTTTTGGAACTGGTATGCCATTATCTGCTTCCTGAGAGAGAGGGACTGACCCAAAATCATCCAGCTGGCTTCATGCATGTGACAGGGCTAGAATTCACAGTCCCAAGTTTCTGGCCTGGTGCCTTAACTGCAATATCTAAACTGGTTCTATTTTTAATCTTTTTTTAAGTTTAACTGCTTTAAGTATAAAATTAAGATGAGTACTTGCTGACCTTCCCCTAAACTGTAGAATAAGTGCATTAACACAGACAGCAATTTTGTTGCAATAGTGTTTTTCTGTTTGTGGAATTCATTCCTGCTCTGTGTGTTGTGGAAATCATCTATGAAATTGTAGCTGCTGCTCCTCCCCACAACAAGATCACTGCAAAATGGAAGCAAAAAAAAAAAAAATACAGAAAATTTTAATTCTTTACTGCCATCTAGGGGTCATCTGGATATTTGCAGCCTGGAAATAGGCACACTTCCTTTCTCTCTCATTTTTTTTCTTGGGTAAGTTATTTTCAAGTATTAAGCATTTTTCTTCTCCAGGACTGGTTTGTACCACATGAATAATGCAGATATCCTCACTTCCCATCATTTAGCTTTTGTATGCTTGCTGTAGAATTGTCACAAGGTTGGGGAGGAGGGCTCTTTCCATTTCATTAACTTTGTGCCAACATTCTACTTTCTTCCACATAGGGAGGCCCTGTTGTAATCTTTGGAATTATATCTGAATCTGTTCTGTCCCAGCCTACGTGAGTCCTTGTTAAGCTTACAAGGAGAAACCCTTCTTCCAACAAGCAGGCTGGAACCGCAGGGAAAAAACCAATCCCCTTTTATTACTTACAGACATGAATAAATGTCCAAAGGCAAACAAAACACAGTTCACTGAAACTTGATTCCTTAACACAAACGGTTGCCTTCAGCAACCAGCACCTCCCACACCTTCCCTTTTATTATGCAGCCAAGGAGTGGCTTCCTGTGAGTTATCACTGTCCAACTCAGATTCCCAGCACAGCTGTGTGTCAGCCTCAGCATGAGTAGAGGGGCCAGGCTCCTCCTCAGACTGTAAGTCTTGGAGCTCATTAGAGCCTTCCTCTGACTCTGATGTCCCTCCAGGCCCCTCCTCCTCCTCTGATTCCCCAGACTCAGCTGCCGGGTCCACTGGCTGACGAGAAATCACAACAGAATCTGCAAGTGGGGTTCATAGTTCCCTTATATTTTGTCCACTAAGTTCTGTACATCATATTCAGAATAGAATAGAATAGAATAGAATAGAATAAGAATAGAATAAGAATAGAATAAGAATAGAATAGAATAGAATAGAATAGAATAGAATAGAATAGAATAGAATAGAATAACAGAACAGAACCTTGGAGGCCTTCTAGTCCAGCCCTCTGCTCAAGCAGGAGAACCTATACCAGGGGTAGGCAACCTCGGCTCTTTTATGACTCGTGGACTTCAACTCCCAGAATTCCTGAGCCAGCCATGCTGAGGGGAAAGGGAGAGGTTTCCAAGCTGAGCCATGCTGGCTCAGGAATTCTGGAAGTTGAAGTCCACGAGTCATAAAAGAGCCGAGGTTGCCTACCCCTGACCTATACTGTCTCAGACAGGTGAATTTCCAGTCTCCTCTTAAAAATCTCCAGCGATGGAGCACCCACAATTTCACAAAATTGTTCAAGTAGAACACAAAATAGTTTCCTGGGTAGGGTGTTTCAGTCATTATTTAGGAGTTAATCTATGGTTTGTCGTACTGTATTTGTTGTCTAGGCTCTGAAACATGGACAGCCTTTCTGCAGCAAACACCACCTTTGCCCTCAACCTCTTCAAGAAGCTTAGTCCAAATGATTCTACCAAGAACTTGTTTTTTTCTCCATTGAGTATGTCTTCTGCGCTGCTAATGGTCTCGTTGGGTGCCAGAGGTAACACAGAAGCTCAGATGTCAAAGGTATATCAAGATACATTTTATCAAAAAGAAAAAAGGGGGTTGGCTAGGAGGTGGTCCCTACTCTTGGTAGCCAATTATGACAACGTCTAATTTGTTTATTACATTTAAACGTTGCCCATGTTGCAGTCATGCATCTCTAGATGACCATGACCTGCACTAGAAAGCTCCAAGTACACCTATCAACTCAACATGGCTACACTCCTAAGATGATGCTGTGCATAAAATTGCCTAGTGTCTGATTAGCTTTTGAAAAATGCAACCTGCAGAAGGGGTGCCGCTGTTATCGGGACTCTTTAATTCTGCTCCCAATGCTATTCTCATCCAGATTTGGGACTCAGTTTGCACGAGGAGGGGGAGCAGCTGCTATTTGCTTGGAATGCAAACAGCATGCATAGGAAGTGCAGTCGGGATTCAGTCCTCTGGGCCTAACTTTTTAAAAGCCATTCATGCAGTTGCTAACCATGTAAATGGTATTATTTGGGACAAAAGTCCTTAACTTTTGAAGTTCCAGAGTTTGAAAATCCACTTTGTGGAAAACCCATTGTGGTGAATTGTGGTAATTCACCACAATTATCAAAAATCAAAAGGAAAATTTATGGCATACTCCGGTAGGCAAAACATTCCATCTCCAGGGTAAGACCTAAAATGGACATTTAAAAAAAAATAAATAGGAACTTGGGGAATTGGGAGATGGACACAGAATCTTGGTTCTGGCACATGTTTGTGCTTCAGTCTTGGATACCCATAGCATTCATTTATTTCTCAAATTTATAGACTGCCCAGAGTCATTATGAATTTTAAAAAATGCAAAATACAATTAAAATCAAAAAGAAGAAAGTAACACAGGCCTATGCAACACATTAACAGAATCCACTCCTGTGGTACATACTTCTTAGCTCTACACCTGCAGAAAAAAAACAGTTCTTCAAGGGCCATTTAAAAGATGGCTTGGTCAGGGGAACTTGACCCTTGAGGGGAAATGGTTCCAGGGCACAAGTATCATGACGAAGGAGGTAAAACGTGGCGCTATGATAAAGGTGGGACCTGGAACAACTCTGTCGTATTCTATTGAAACAATGGGAGAAAGGTGACCCTGGAGCTATATGCCATGAAGATGTTATAGATGGCAATCAGACCTTGAATTTCATCAAGGCACTTATGGATAACTTCCACAGCTGATGCAGGAGAGGTGTGCTTATACCTGCTTATATTGCTCAATTCTGGGTCAGCGGCAGTTTCTGAGTGGTTTTCAAGAATAGCTCTAAGAGGTGTAATTTGCAGCAGCCGACGTGTGAGGCCACTGTGGAATGAATGACTAAGAGAAGGGATTTCCAGTCCAGGAAAAGGTGCGGTTTGTGCACCAGACAAAGCTTCTTCCCAAGCCACTGCTAGACCTCGTCAGCTATTAACTTAAAAAGCTATATACATGTGCAGGTGAGCTCCAAATGATATGGAGACCATGTGTAATGTGCAAGCTTTTCCAAGGTTTTGCCTTTGTTGTATTACATTTTGAATTGATTTTGAACATAATTTGATTGTCCATATATCATCTTATAGGTGCTATCTGTATCCAAAGATGGAGAGGTTCACCAAAGATTTGAGAAACTCATTTCTGAAATCAACAAACCAGGTGCCAATTATAGCCTCAGTCTAGCCAACCGGCTCTTTGGAGAAACATCATATGATTTTCTTGCAGTAAGTTACATGCATGTTGGAGAACTGGCTAGAAACAACCATAAATGCTCTGTTTGTTCCAATGTCTGCCTATCTCATTGGAATTGCAGGAGCTATGCTCCTATAGCTTTACTTTGGTCAATTGAGTTATCTGAAGGGGGAATTAAAAGGCCAACTGCTTTTACTGAGAATGTTACAGGAACACACGGTAAGATTTTAGCATCCTAAATATAGAAAAGGCAAAGTAGAACTATGTGACCCATAATTGCCAGATATATTCTTGAATAAACAAATTGTATTAGCTATCCAGTGGCACTGGCTGTTTGTAAGGTGTATTCGGTGTAATAAATAATGTTTCCAGGTTGTTAATTCATAGAAGAATGGAACAAAATCAGTTCTTGCTCTTTTGTGTTGCTTCCATTACTGAGATGTCATTGTTTCTTAAGCCATTTCTAGAATCCACTCAGAAATTCTACCATGCAGGTCTGGAGAAACTTAACTTTAAGCAAGCTTCAGAAGATTCAAGAAGACATATAAATGCCTGGGTAGAAGAAAAAACCTCAGGTGAGAATGATAATAGAGTTAATTAGTAGTTGCATTAAGAAAGACATGCAATATTGTCCATGCATGTGAGAGAGACAGACAAGGCAGGCAGACCCACCATATTTATTATCCTTTATTTGCTACATAAGTGTCCATCAAACCTGTGATGAAATTCTAGCCAAGAATAGAGGCTTGATTCTATTGATGGACACATCTGAGCATATTTCAATTATTTAACTTGCCTGTTGTTTAACTTGTTTATGTGTGACAACCTTAATAATGATATAAGATGGGCAACTATATAAATGTTAAGGGAGGGAAGATGGATGGATGGATGTTGAACTGGCCCTGAGGAAGCAAATGCTGTATTTCATCCTCAGTCAGAGAAGCTCTCTGGTGACCATCTTGAGCTCCTGAAGGCGGATCAAGATAAAAGTCTAATAATTAAATAAAAATGGCTTTATTTTGGTTTACCTACAAGCATGTCCATGATTTGCTAAGTATTCCAATGAGCGAGAAAGTGAGGGAGGGAGGGTGAGAGAGAGAGAGAGAGAGATCTTAAACCATAAATCTTACAAGAGGGCTGCTAAGAATTTTTGTGCAACATTATGCCTATAAAAGTATCTATCAATTAAAGCAGGGGTTTTTTTTTACACTCTCAAAAGGTAAAATTCAGAATCTGCTTGCCCCGGAAATAATTAATTCACTTACAAAACTGGTTTTGGTGAATGCTATCTATTTCAAGGGAAACTGGGCAAATCAGTTCAACAAAGATCACACAGAGGAAAGGCCATTCCACATTAACAAGGTATTCATTTGTTAACAAATAAAGAGGCATTCTGAATATTTTAAATTGCGTTATTTTGCATATATCTGAAGCAAGTCTGGGATTAATTTGAAACGTTCCTTTAGCAAATAAATTGCTTACTCCTTACATTTTTATTGAACTTCATGGAAATAGATGAATCATGAAGATCAGTCATCTTGAGACATTCAGGCTTGTGTGTAGAAGTTTAGACTTTTCAGTCATTGAAATTTTTTTACTCAGGGATTTCTAATGCAGCACCACTCCCACTGATTCTGTGTGATTAACCATAATGACTACAGAGTAGTTGTGATTAGCAAATATATTTGCTGAGTATAGGGTTCTTTTATGTATAATCACCTGGAAGTATTCGATGGAGGACAAACAAGCCCAATATGTTTCTATGTTGCTTTCCACAAAGAAGGCTAGTTTTGATATTATAAACATCTGTTCATTTGAGAAAATTGCTGATTAAAGCCACAGCACAGCTCAACTTGCACAAGGGGAGGGCCAGTGGGCAATCGGATTCCTGCGCACCAGCCCACCTCTCGCACAAGTTGAGCTGCGCATGTGTGCGCCAACCCACCACTCGAACAAGGGCTGCATGCCCCCAGTTCCCATTTTCCCACCCCAGCTGGGCTGCTGAGTCGCAAAAATTGGGAACCGCTCCTATAGACAGTATAGACAAGTACAGTATAGACAAGAAGTACAGTAGATCAACTGCCAGAGCAGCAGCCAGAGCAATCTGGAGCTGAACGCTTTTAAAACTGTAGAGATGATAGTAGATTTTAAAAGAAGCTCTCCTATTCTACCACTTCTTGCAATATTAGGCAACACAATATCAACAGTAGAGACCTTCAAGTTTCTAGGTTCTATTATCTCCAAGGACTTGGCATGGACACCTAACATTAGAACCATCATTAAAAAGGCACAACAAGCAAGGTTCTTCCTGTGTCAAGTCAGAAAGCTCAGATTGCCCAAAGATCTGCTGGGACAGTTCTACAGAGGAATTATTGAGTCTGTTGTTTATACTTCAATAGCTGTCTGGTTTGAAACAGCAAACAAACAGGACAGGTACAGACGTTAACGGATAGTTAGGACTGCAGAAAAAACCATTGCAACCAGCCTGCCTTCCATTTAGGATCTGTACACTGCACAAACCAGAAAGAGGACTGAGAAAATATCTACAGACGCCTCACATCCTGGACATAAACTGTTTCAACTCCTCCCAACAGGAGGAGCATGCCAAAACAACTATATATAAAGATAGTTTTTTTTTTTCATTTCTCCTCATTTCTCATCTTTCCTACTATCTTCTCCTATTAGTTTCTCATGATTTATCAATTGTTAGTAACTTATGAGTAATGATTGTAACTATGATTTATGGCCTATTATTTCCTGTTTATATGTACACTTTGAGCTTTACACGGGAGACAAATTCCTTGTGTGTCCGATCACACTTGGCCAATAAAAAATTATATTCTGATTTGATTCAAAAGTCGAAGCTAAAGATGAAAGTCCCAAAGGTGCTTTTTTCATGGGGCAACTGGACCTCCCTGTTTTTCTTTGAAGGCGTTTCACTTCTCAACCACAATCACTCTCTAAAAGAATGCCAGTGATCAGCTGTATGCAAGGAATATAAATCCTTCCATTCCCCACCGTCTAATCTGAGCTGAAGAAGCTTCTTGGATGAGAAGCAAAATGTCTTCAAAGAAAAACAAGAAAGTCCAGGTGCCTCTTGAAAAAAGCACCTTTGGGACAACCATCACCTGGATGACTGAGAATCTCCATAGACGCTAAAGATGAAAGATTTAAGCAGAGAGGGGAAAAAAACCCAGACTAAATACATGGTAGAATTATTTGTGCTTCCTATTTATTTGAAATATTTCTTCTAACCTGGATTTTCTTCACTTGTAGAATGAAACAAAACCAGTGCAGATGATGTTCAGGAAAGGGAAGTACAACATGACCTACATATCGGACTATCGGACTTCAATTCTTGAGATTCCATATGTTGATAATGAGTTGAGCATGATCATTCTGCTTCCTGAAAAGATTGAAGATAACTCTACTGGGTTGGAAAAGGTGAGTTTATCTTTCATGAAACAGAATTTAAACCCTGGTCCATCTGAAAACATCATATCTCTCAGCTACATCATATCCTTTCCATAGAAACCTGGCTAGTGTCCATTCTTGTCTTTCTGATACAAGCCAAAACCATGTTTTGCACATTCACAGAGTAATTTTACCTCTGATGATTGTATAGGTAGCCCTTGACTTAATGGCCATTCATTTAGTGACTATTCAAAATTATGACAGTGCTGAAAAAACCCTGGTCCTCATACAACTGTCACACCATTCCCCCTTGTTCACATTTACAACTGATTGCAGTGTCCTGCAGTCTCATGATCTGTGACCTTTTATGCCAGTTTCCAGCCAAAAAACCCTCAACAATTCGCGCTTAAGACAACTACAGAGTCTTAACTGTCGTGGTTTTCTTAACATCCATCATAAAAATTGTAAAATTGGGTCCAGCTTGACTTACGACCACAATGGCTTATGACAGAAATTCCAATCCCAGTTGCTGTGATCATAAGTTGAAGATTACCTATAGTGACTATTTTAGCATCCCTTTTGATTGATATTCTTTGGCTACATCTTCGTATTTGTTCTTAGCTGTGTTTTACTTAAAATTGGAGAACTGTAGCTATGCTGTAACTGAGAGGTTTTAGAATTAAGAAAACCAATACAAAACATTCAACTGTTAAATTTGTCCAAGATACTAGACAAACAGCAATGCTTGACAGCAGATGAATTTATTTTATTTTTGCAATCTGAAGTGGAAAGTTTAGATTGGAAAAAAAGTATGGAATGCTATTTTAAGTAATCTGGGTCACTGAGATAGCTTTATGAAAGTCTTTATAAACATATAAGGAAACTTGAAATTTCTCCTATTTCAGTTGAAAGGTAATAGTCAAAATAGTGTCACGGGTGTTATAAAATGTCCGTGTGAGTGTCCATGTGTTCCCATAGTTAATTTGTCTTTTGATTTCCACTGCAAATGAATCTTTATATTTCATATAGGATGATAATAATTTCAATTTTAACAACCATCGTAATTGGCATTTATATGTCCAAAAATGGAGGATTTACAAACATCTGCTTCTTTTTCTTGGCAAGCTTCAAAATACCTTTTACTGCATTCTAACAATGCTCTATACTCGCTGAGGTTAGTAGGAGCTTCCTGTCACTAATAAGAAAACAGGTACTGACATGGTTCTAAGGTTTACCCTATTTTTGTGACTTTTAATTATCTTTCCTAAAGTTCTAGAACAGGGGTGTCAAACTCGAAACGTCACATAGTGTGTCGCGACATATTGCGACTTTTCCCCCATTGCCGGAGCTGGGGTGGGCGCAGTTTCGCTATGATGCACCCGGCCCGTGGGCTGGCAGTTTGACACTCTGTTCTAGAAGGAATAGAAGAATTTGCAACTGCTTGTAAGATTTCAGGATTTTTCTATTATTGCATCATACTTGTGTTAAGAATGAAATTATCAGGATACCTCATAGTGTCAAATAACCAGGAATTCCTTTCTCCTTTAACGCATTTCATCTTATTTTAGCTGGAGAGAGAAATTACGTATGAGAAACTCATAGACTGGATCAATCCAAGGAAGATGGACCTAAGAGAAATTGAACTCTCCTTTCCCAAATTTAAACTGGAAGAAGAATATGACCTGAAGCCTGTTCTGAAAAGCATGGGAATGACAGATGCATTTGATGAGGGCAAGGCAGACTTCTCTGGAATGTCAACTAACAATAATTTAGTCATATCTGAAGTTGTTCACAAATCATTCATAGAAGTCAATGAAGAAGGCACTGAGGCAGCTGCTGCCACTGCTGCTATAATGATGATGAGGTGTGCAATGTTTGTGCCAGAATTCAAAGCTGATCATCCCTTTCTCTTTTCTATTATTGAGCGAACTACAAACAACATCCTGTTCTTTGGTAAACTTTGTTCTCCATAATGAGTGCATTCTGCCTGTGTTGATTAAATGCCTTAATTCCTCATCAGGTTTTTATAAGCCACTTTTCCCATCACCACACATTTGATTTTTTTCTGTATTTGGGGTATAGTTCCTTCCAGTAATATTCAATTTTAATACTTTCCAGTATAGAATTATCTTTAATGAATTCCAGAAAACAATTGTAGTACAAGTTTCTAGTGTTCTGATTGCTAGATAAAGCCTATAAAATTGCTTTGAGATTTATGGGAATTTGGGATGTGGTGGAGAAGTTACTAAGCATGAATCAAGCTATCACAACATTGATGTATCTATGTATCCACTCCGCGTACATTTCCATCTGATGATACATGTACTATACAGTCAATTCAGCTTGCCTTATGACCTCATGGTTTCTCATTTTGGTGATGTCATGGCTAGCCAAGGATGCCTCTACTGAGCTTATAATAACAAGTGTAAACAGTGCTAGAATGAATACACATAACACATTTTTGTGGTTATAAATAATACAGTTGAGAAATATGAATCCTATCTTGGAACTCAAATGTATGGATTATTTAATCAAGCAATTCTATTGCATACAATTCAGATATCTACCAATTATATTTACCTTATACGGTTCTTATTTTGATGCAGCTTTTCATGTATTCAAAATTGAAATAAAAGCATTTGATTATTGCTATCAGATTTACTATCGGCTACTGTGGTGATAGAGCACTTCATTACTGAGCTCCGGTATCACTGAAATTGATTAGATTTACACACTTTGAACCATCATTTATTAACTCTATTGCAATAAAATGAGATTACACAATACACTAAGGCCAAGCTAAACAAATCTCTTAACGTGAATGAAAATGGCAGATATGCTGAAAGATGTATTTATTACAATGTATGTTAACCCAGTTTTAAACAAAAGTGGGGATTTTATCTTGCATGTTTATTGTAAAGTAGGGGTGTCAAACTTGCAACATCACATGACGTGTTGCAATGTATCGCAACTTTTTCCCCATTGCCAGCAATGGGGTGGGCGCGGTTTCGGTGTGATGCATCCGGTCCTCGGGCTGGCAGTTTGACACCCCTGATGTAAAGTGAGAGCCAATTAAACAAAGATAATGATAAGTCCTCAGTATAAAACTGTAGATTGGGAGAAACGGAACAGAGTGAGATATCCTAGATTGGGGTTATCCTCTGCATCAGGAGGCTGGAACAAAATAGTCTAGATACCTCTTCCATTTTTAGCAAAAGCTGAAACAGACTGTATTAGCTTCCCTTCTCTGTAGGGTATTTTGTTAAATTTAGGTAAGTTGAGATGCTAGAATTGTTTTTGAACAGTTGCTGAATTCATGAGAACCTGAATGAAAATTCTAAAGCTTCAATTGATGTAGCAAGTACAATGGAGCATATTCGCTGCATAAACTGAAGTCCTCTGTCATTTGTTTTCTACAATGAAATCTGTTTTCATGATTCTACAGAAAATTAATTAAAAAGCAACATGAATAGCAGCAACCTTGGTTGTGATGTCCCTGGCCTCTAAAACATGTTCCGGTGAGAATTTGCTTGGTGTGGCTATCTGTTGCTGGATAAAGACCTTTTAAATCACATTCAACAGTGTTTCTCCATACTGCTTCCATCCATGTAGAACTGCATCTACATGGATGGAAGTATACAGCGGGGTACCCCAAGGCTCTGTTTTAGGTCCAATACTCTTCAACATCTTCATCAATGATTTGGATGAGGGAATAGCCAACATTCCAGAAGATAGGCTTAAAATACAGGAGGATCTTGACAGACTTGAACATTGGGCGCTATCTAACAAAATGAAATTCAATGGTGAAAAAGTAAGGCTCTACATTTAGGCAAGAAAAGCCTAACGCATAGGTACAGTATAGGTGGCACCTCGCTCAATAGTAGTAACTGTGAAAGGGATCGTGGAGTCCTAATGGACAATCACTTAAATATGAGCCACAGTGTGCTGCAGCTGCCAAAAAAGCCAAAACAGTGCTAGGCTGCATTAATAGAAGGATAGAATCAAGATCATGTGAAGTGTTAATACCACTTTATAATATCTTGGAACACAGCATCCAGTTTTGGTCACCATGATGTAAAAAAGATGTTGAGACTCTAGAAAGAGTGCAGAAAAGAGCAACAAAGATGATTAGGGGACTGGAAGAATAATTGCTGGAATTGGGCATGTCTAGTTTAATGAAAAGAAGGACTAGAGGTGACATGATAGCAGTGTTCTAATATCTCAGGGGTTACCACAATGAAGTGAGGGTCAACCTATTTTTCAAAGCACCTGAAGGCAGGATAAGAAGCAACAGATGGAAAGTAACCAAAGAGAGAAGCAACCTAAAACTAAGGAGAAATTTCCTGACAGTTAGAACAATTAATTAGTGGAACAACCTGCCTCCAGAAGTTGTGAATGCTCCAACACTATGTTTTTAAGAAGAGACTGGACAACCATTTGCCTGAAATGTTATAGGGTTTCCTGCCTAGGACTAAGAAGACCTCCAAGGTCCCTCTCAACTATTCTATTCTATTCTATTCTATTCTATTCTATTCTATTCTATTCTATTCTATTCATCTGCACCTCAATTTGAGATGCAGACAACACAGATTCATCCCCAACAGCCCTCGCGCCTGTGTTCAACAGTGAAGGGACACAGGGCAGAAAACATCCTGCAGAAAGTACAGCTCCACAACATCCCCGTCTAGCTTCCGCTGCTCTTGATACTTTCGGTTTTCCTTTTCTCTCTCTCTCTCTCTCTCTCTCTCTCTCTCTCTCTCTCTCTCTCTCCTTTTCCCCCTTTCCCCTCTCCTCTCCTCTCCCTAACCCAAATCCTCTCCTTCCTCTCCTTTCCTTTCCGCGAGCTTCTGCAGTGGGGCGGATGGGCTAAGCGCCCGTGTTGGGCCACAGTCTTCGGATGTAGGCAAATTGAGAGCAGCCCAACCCTTCCTCGCTCCTCTCAGCCTTCCAACTCGCGAAACCTGCCCGTTCAGACCACCTCCCCTCCCAGCTGGGGAAGGTCAGAGTCCGAGGGCGCTGCCGTCTCGCCAGTTCCAGAGTCCGCTCCGGCGCTCCCCTCCTCGCCACGCCCTCCTCGCCACGTCAAGACTGGAGATCTGCGGGGGAGCGGCTCTCTGCTTATCCGACGCACCTGGTCTTCTCTCGGCAGGTAAGGGTGGGTCCCGCGCGGCCGTCGCTTATAGCCGTTTAAAAGCTTGCTCCCGTCGTCATTGCTCTGTATTGGTGCTATAGTTCAGACGGTGCCTCCGAAATAATTTTCTTTCTTTCTTTTTTTGCTTGTTTTCCAGCCTTCTCGTGGTCACTATGGATAACCTGGCTAATGCAAACTCGCAGTTTGCTCTGGATCTTTTCCAGAAATTGAACGAAGCCCACCCAACTGCCAACATTTTCTTTTCTCCGGTCAGCATATCTTCTTCCCTGGCCATGATCCTCTTAGGGGCCCGGGGTAATACAGCCGCGGAACTCTCGAAGGTCAGCAGATATTTTTTCTGACATGTTTAGTATAGCTCCTATGAATATTGCGGTTCTTCGGTAAGGAGAGTTGTATATTTTAAGTGCTGTATAATTTGACACACGGCCTGTAGCACAGGGATGTCACCTTTGGATTTAAAAGGATTGATGTTAAAGCACTGTGTTAAAATGTATTAAGTATATCGCTGGATTTAGTTAGTACTTCAAAAAAGTTAGTAAGACACAGGATCAGTAATGTTCCTTCTTTCGTAATTTACTCCAGAGTTTTTATTAGTGTTCTGCTGAACAATTTTCAAGCGAATAAGGGTGATGATAGATGTTAGATAGATGATAGATAGAGGGAGAAAGATAGATAGATAGAGAAATAGAGATAAAGATAGATGGTAGATTAGATAGATAATAGATTAGATAGATAGATAGATAGATAGATAGATAGATAGATAGATAGATAGATAGATAGATAGATAGATAGATAGATATGATTTAGATATGATTTAGATATGATTTAGATAGATAGATAGATAGATAGATAGATAGATAGATAGATAGATAGATAGATAGATAGATAGATAGATAGATAGATAGCCAATTTTACATCACTAAATTTGGCCTATCGATCAAAGGTTCTGGAAATTTTATTTTTAGCTTACAGGTATACTCTGTGATAAAGTTTGAAAACTTTTGGTTTAGATTTTCCACATATAGTTGTCCAACCTGTATGGGATAAGGATATAAGAAGAAAATTCATGTACAAGAAATACAAAGAAGTAATGCCTTTTTTTTCCACCATGCCCCAAACAAACTCAGCTTACTGGCTAATATGCTGAAATTTTCAAGCACACAATTACAGTAAGCTAAGATAAAAGCAATAGCTCTTTCCTCAAAAACTTACAGCCTCTATAGGCTATAATATATAATATATAAAAACCAAATATTTTGGTTTTCAAGTGACAGAGTGTCAGCCCCTCATACAAAGGGCGCAAATGGGAAATAAAAGAAATGACCCAATGCTCTCTGTTGCATTCTCTTGCTATGCTTTATCAAAAAAATAATTTGTTATGAAAATCGGACTAATATTCAATTTTTTCCTTATCTATATCTGTTTTATACTGTAGTCTTCACAGATTCTGTAACTGATACCCTAAGGTAACTTTGAATAAAGCCTCCTGTTGTGTCGTTTCCCCAAGACAGAATATATAGCAAATACATTCAGCCTTTGGCAAATCCCCAATTTTTCCTTGTTTATGTAAAACCCATAGTATTAGTCTTAGATACTGTATGTGCCTCTTTTAAAATGAAACCTAAATATGCAGAGAATGGTCCAGTGCAGCTTGTTTATGTATGCCTTCCTGTCTGTGTGTCTAGATTTCTGGAATGTCTCCACTGCTCTTAGACAAATGTATTTTTGAATTAACCATAATTTCACTGTTATTATTGGTATTAAGTTAGGATCTATCTTTTCCATGCAGACACTTCATTTTGATGATGTTGAAGACCTTCATTCAGGATTTCACAGGCTCAATACTAAAATTAACCAGAGCAATGCACCCTATATTCTGAAAGTTGCTAATAGGTTGTACGGAGAAAAAACTTTCAACTTTTTGTCTGTAAGTAGATTGCAAACATCAATAACTCATGGGTCATCAGAATGGCTTTATAGGTCAATTTCAAATGTTAATTGATTATGATATTCATCAATACAGTTATCATGTGCTTTAAGTGAATAATCTCTTTTAATTAGGTCTGCTATGTTCAGCCCAGTCCAAAAATGATACAGTAAGATCCAATTATATCCAATCATTTATTTTCTTACATCTAATGGACATAACCTTGCCAAATGAAAGTTATAACCATCTAATCCACTAGATATGGCCTGAGAAATTCCAGGGTGTGGTTACTCTGAACTTTTTCCCGCTCCCCTCTCCAGTTTAGGATTGCACAGTGTCTTAATCTGTGCATCTCTCAGGGAAAACTCTGTTTTGCTAAAATTTCCTACCCCACCCCCTCTTGCTTCTTCAGGTACACGGCTATGAAATATGCAGTTTTACACGTTCATTCCTTTTCTCTCTTTTACCCACAGACAGTCATGTTTCTTGTGAGATGTAGAAGCATTGCTGCTAACCTTATTAGATAGATACAGATTTTCCAATTAGACTACAAATTGTATGTATGATATGCATCTCTTTTCACAAGAATAAACTATCAGTCAAAACAAACGATGCTAATCTCGTATCATGGTTAAAGTACTGAAGAAGAGCTGGAAGGCTTAGATTCAGGACCTCACTCAGAATAGTCCACTTTTTCTCTTCAGGCTAGTTGTATTTTTCAGCCTAAACATGGTTATCATGACAGTGAATTGGAAAACTTCAACACAGACTACATCAGCCTTTTAGACAGAAGATATGTCTTCATTATGCTATTATGAGTACTTCTTATGTGCTTAAATGCAGTTAGAAAATTCTAGAGCATGATGAATGATGAAGGCAAAGGCTGTCAAGCAGGAACAGAGAAATTAATTGGATCTCTAGTTGATTGGAGATTATAATTGTTATTATTTATTAAATATAAATGCTTCCCCTCTTGCTATCCATAATAGTATTTATTTTATAGTTTATTTTATAATTTATAAATATTGTATGTCTCATTTTGCTAGGATTTCTTGACTAGCACCCAGAATTTGTATGGAGCTAAATTAGCCACAGTGGACTTCTCAAATGCTCCAGACAAGGCAAAAAACGAAATTAACCAGTGGGTTGAACAGCAGACTGAAGGTGAGTTATTTTTTAAAAAATTAACAACTATTGGGTCCACATGATAGTCAACTCTTACTTTTATTTCCCATAATGCTGCCATAAAATACCAATTTCAGGAATTGATAAAAGAGAAAACAAAACAATACTTTGCAACAGTTAATCTTACAGAACAGTGGTTGTACAGTTGTATAAAGTTGTATAAAGGATCCGGTCAGCAGCCCCGTAACCTGATAAAAGATATTTTGGGCTGGCATAACAAGTCTGATGAAAAATACAAGTTTGAGAACAACCCACCAATACACAGGACACAATAAATGAATGTTCCACATTGTCCTTGCCTGTAGAGTATCTCCTCAGAGATACTTAGAAAGTGGACATTTCATATTAATGGGTCTGCTTAACGCAACTCACATACTTTTATTTTATTTATTAAATTTATATCCTGCTCATTTCACTGTACAGCAGCTTTGGGGAGTTTATTGAATGATAAAAAGATAAAGACAATGCAAAACAATTAAAATTTAGAAAGGTTAAATAGACCAAAAGCCAAGAGGACAGGAGACATAAGGATGGGGATCTTCTCTTAATCCCAGCAGCCACACCCAGCATAGAGCGCCCTTGTTGAGGCTCTAGACCAGGGGTGTCAAACTGGAAGCCGCGCCCACTCCATTGCCAGCACTGGCAAAACCGTCCTGATACATTACGTGACGTCATTTGACGTCGCGAGTTTGACATATCTGCTCTAGTCCAGCCAGCAGAGCCAGGTTTTAAGAGCCAGGAGTGTGGGGACTGACCTTACCTCCAGGAAGAAATATTAAGAACACCGAATGATTTGACTAATATATTGATTAAAAAGAGGATTCTATCTTAAATTGGAGTGATTCTGGAGCTGTGGCACCTTATGCACATGACAGGAACTGGCCAGTGAGTGCCATTCACAGAAGCTTTTGTTAATTCAGGATTTTTTTTTTAAAGAGTATAATTGCAGAGGGGAAATGTACATTTAACAAGTGCATTTAGATTAGTCTGATTGATATTATTTAGGTCTCAGTTTCTTCCACAGCTAATTAACAGTGAAATTTCTCTGTCAAGGTAAAATCCCTGAGTTGCTATCTGAAGGCTCTATCAATGAAATGACTAAATTGGTTTTGGTGAATGCTGTCTACTTTAAAGGCAGCTGGGCAAAAGCATTTAAAGAAGAAGATACTGAAGACAAGCCTTTTAGACTAAATAAGGTAAATGGATTGTTTTTTTCATACTGTCTCTCTTCTGTAACAAGAGTTTGTTGTTTAGGCATTTGTGGCAAGGTACACTCTCATTAAGCATCATCAAATTTTTATGATAGCACTGAACACATAATCTTAATTTATCTGTAGTCATGTTTTTGAAGCCTTGTATCAGTTCCTTTGAACCTAATCACTAATTTAAAAATCTCAACTTTCTCATAAATTAAACCTAATTCCATTCTGAAATATTTTACTGAATTTAGTAGTCCTTTGCCTACAGTATATGCTCTAATACATGAAGGAAGACAATAAAGCAGTTTTTATTTTATTTTTTACTACAGGAAAGTTTTTTTCCCACCCTTGGTTTAATTTTTAAGTTGGCTTAGCTGTTCTGTTTACCTGAAAATGAATTTCATTCAGCTTAATAGGATTGTATGATTCCAAAGAATAGCTAGCTATATGTTAATATAGTTTTGCAAAGATCCACTTCCCAGAATTAGTTCTATCAATTTCAGCATATACTGTACATGCAGAAGCATTTATTTCTTTGTTGTTTGTATAAGCTCCTCACTGTAATAGTCTTATAATAATCCAGACAGAAAAGAAGAACGTGAAGATGATGTTCATGAAAGAGAAACTTCCTTTTGGTTATATCCCTGAATGCAAGTGTCGTGTGCTGGAACTGCCATACAATGGAGAGGATCTTAGCATGATCATCCTTCTGCCTGATGAAATTGAGGATAATTCTACAGGCCTAGAAGAGGTGATTCTGTTGTTTTCTTGCTATTGCTATAAAATCATTGTCCTAAACATTCTAAATATGACATGAATACAGTACTTGGTAGGATCACCCATGTGGATGGGCAAAGTTCTGGGTTATGTGATGCATTGAGTGGCTCCATATACATCGGTTGGGTTCTGAAGAGAGGCTGCCTTAATGATAATGATGATGATGATGATGATGATGATGATGATGATGATGATAATAATAATAATAATAATAATAATAATAGTAGTAGTAGTAGTAGTAGTAGTAGTAGTAAAGTTGGAAGGGACCTTGGAGGTCATCTAGTCCAACCCCCTGCTCAGGCAGGAAACTCTATACCATCTCGGACAAATGGCTGTCCAGTCTCTTCTTAAAAACTTCCAGTGTTGGAGCATTAACTGCTTCTGGAGGCAGGTTGTTCCACTGATTAATTGTTCTAACTGCCAGGAAGTTTCTCCTTAGTTCTAGGTTGCTTCTCTCCTTGATTAGTTTCCACCCATTGTTTCTTGTCCTGCCTTCAGGCGCCTTGGAAAATAGCTTGACTCCCTCTTCTTTGTGGCAGCCCCTGAGATATTGGAACACTGCTATCATGTCCCCCCTCATCCTTCTCTTCATTAAACTAGACATACCCAATTCCAGCAGCCGTTCCTTATATGCTTTAGCCTCCAGTCCCCTAATCATCCCCTATTCTGGGGATCTCCAGAAAATCATTTTTGTACCAGACACTATGAATCCCTAATCATCTCGGATGAAAGAGTTGAAACCAAATTAGATCTGAATTAGATTTAAATAGTATCTAAAGTGGTAAAGTATCTATTAAATAAATGCTTTTTATATTATGTTTGGACAGGACAGCCATAGTTTGCCTGAAAATACAATCTTTAAAAATCCATGTTACACTTCTAATAATGTTTATGCTATAAACTCTGTATTGATTTTTTTCCCATCTGAACATCGGTTAAAGCTGCAAATAGTTTAGCATGAAGCAAAACCCATCTTGCGCTCAGTCCAATGCCATATTTTTATTGTCTCCCATAGAGGAAGACCATGTTTGGGGGTAGAGAAATGTGATCTCTGGCTCTGCAGATTCATTCATAGTGAAATCAGTATGTTTTTCAGCAAGGCGTTTCTCTGTGCTGAAATGGAAATATCTTGGCACAATGATACAAATGATTACTCCTCTTTCTTTGCCGTTTTAGCTGGAGAAGCACCTTACCTTGGAAAAACTGCAAGAATGGACCCAGCCCCAAAATATGAATTCCGACCTGGACGTCTATGTACATCTACCTAAATTTCAGCTGGAAGAAAATTATGATCTTAAATCTTACTTTGCAGCAATGGGGCTGTTGGATGTGTTTGACAGTGGCAAGGCTAATTTGTCTGGAATGTCAGGAGCTCAGGACCTCCATGTCTCTAAAATTGTTCACAAGTCATTTCTAGAAGTAAACGAAGTAGGCACTGAAGCAGCAGCAGCTACTGCTGCTACGATTATGTTACTTTGTCTGCCCGTTGCAGAGGAGTTTAATGCTGACCATCCTTTCCTATTTTTTATCCGTCATAAAGCAACAAACACTATACTTTTCCTTGGTAGATTTGTTTCTCCATAAAAGTAGCATAAAACCAACTTCCAGCCTCCTATAAAACACACATTTCTTTGCCTGCTTGGGGGAATTGCCATAAACAAGCTAGGTTTCTCCAGATGTTTTCCATCTTGGATTTTCTTGAACTCCTGAGTCTGTTGACAGGTTTTATGTGACACTTTGCTCTAAAGCAGGGGTGTCAAACTCGCTGTGTCACGTGACATGATATATTGTGACTTTTCCCCCCTTATTTTTATTGTCATATTTGGGGTGGACGTGATTTCTGCGTGATGCATCCAGCCCGCGGGCCGGCAGTTTCACACGCCTGGTCTGAAAGGTAGCCATCTCTAATCTAGGACATTCAGGTGTGCTTGACTACAGTTCCTTTAATTTCCAGCTAGCTAGGAATTCTGGGAATTTTAGTTTGAGATGTTTGGAAGCCATCAGGCAAGGGATAGCTGCTATGCATTGTATTTGTAAAATCAGTAACACATGAATTGCTGGAATAAGGTTGGCCTTCATTTAATACAATTTAAGAGTCTTTAGTCAAGGAACTGGACCAATGGAAGATCATTGATAATATAGAATCCAGAAAGTGACTTCTTTCTTGTTCAAAAATACAAAGCAATTTGGTACTTGTCTTAATAAGTACCTTATGAGGAATTATGGTACCACTTTTCTTCTCATTCAGTGAGTGGAGAATTGTTCGCATACGAATCAACAGCAACCTCAATGTACTAATTTTCTGATTTTTTTTTCATCCACATTGTCTCTCCTCATTAAATCTGAGTTATATGTTGTTGTCCATCTTCCAGGCATTGATTTTATTGAAGATAGATGTCAAATAAAGAAATTCTAACGACATTTTGAAGAGAATTGTTACTTCTACAATTCAGTTTAATTCATGTTGCCTGGATGATTTAGAGGCACTCTTGTTTTAAATATTGGAGAAAGTCCCCTCATGCTTTTCCCTAAGTTATCATTTATAGTATAATCTGCCAATGATTTTGCCTTTATGTCTATTTTTTCTCCCTTTCCCAGCCCATTCCCAGCCTTTTACAACTATCTACAGATGGAGCTCTGGGCTAGCAAAACGAAATGTCAAAAACACAGTATAAGCCTGCACACCAAACAATATAGTACTTAAAATATTATAACTGAAGTGTTTTTTTTATCAAAATGGAAACAGTGATGATTTTTAAATTCACTTTATTTTCACAGTTTCAAAAATAATTTCTCAAGTTACATTTCAGTTATAAGGGGTTTTTTTTCAGCTTAAGGTGCAAATGCAGTATTTCTTCCAACCAAGGACACAAGTCAAAATTAGGCCCTTTTAAGTTCTATGGATTGTATTAATTATATACTTATATCAGTCCCCACTGAAAAAGCCTAATATTAGCTAGACTGGGCAATTTTTATTTATTTATTTTAAATTTCTGAAATAATGCCCTTTATATCTTTGATTAAATCCAGTGATTTTAGTTGTTCTTTACCTATATAATACGTATTTTATCTAAGATTATCAAACGATTCTTACATTCTGCATAAAACCTGCGATAAAATATTCTTTATAGTATAAAATGGTTTAGGAATGTGCAGTTATTTGGATTTCAAGTGGAAAAGGAAGCAACTCCTTAAGTAGAACACATATTTTCCTCTGACTACATAATTAGTGTAGAAAAGATGTAGTTTCTTTAAGGAATCTCTTGACAACATTATTGAGTATATCTGTATCTGTGCTGAGCAGCTTTTTGCCTTGAATTGGAACAGTAGAATATCCTCAGCGTTGTTTCATTTGTATCAAAGACGATGTAATTAACATATATTATTTAATGCAAAAAGGTTAAGCATCCCAGTTTGAGGCAACCAGTTTAATATGGCTGTTCTGGAAAAATACGGTTTTCTTAAAACCAAAATGAACTTTTGAGAAAAATATGGCAGGAATAATGAGTTGCACATGAACAATACAGGGTCTTCCATCAAATTTTGCTTTGCGTAAAAAAATCAATCTCTTTCAACTCTTCAGGCAGATATTCTTGCTCTACAGGATTCTTGTACATGGGATTATATTTATAATCTTTACCGTAACCTAAATTTTTCATGAGCCTGGTTGGTGCATTCCGCAAATGTAAAGGAACAGGAGGAAGTGGTCCCTGGTGGTCTCTTAGGCATGCTTTCACTTTGCTGTAGGCGCTGTACACTTCAATAGACTTTGGTGCTCTGGCAAAATAGACTACACACTGTGCCAGTAAGACCTAAGCAACAAAAAGAAAGGGCCAATTAAAGAAGCAAGGGAAATGTACTATAGGTAGTCCTCGACTTACAACAGTTTTGTTTAGTGACCGTTCGAAGTTACAATGGCAATGAAAAAAGTGACTTTTGACCTTTTTTCACATTGCAGCATCCCCATGTGATCATGTGATCAAAATTCAGACGCTTGGGCAACTGACTCGTATTCATGACGGCTGCAGTGTCCCGGGGTCATGTGATTCCCCTTTTGCAACCTTCTGACAAGCAAAGTCAGAGGGGAAGCAAGATTCATTTAACAACCATATTACTAACTTAACAACTACAGTGATTCAGTTAACAGCCAGGGCAAGAACGGTTGTAAAATGGGGCAAAATTCACTTAATAACTCTCTCACTTAACAATAGAAATTTTGGGGTCAATTGTGGTCAATTGTTGCACAAAACTCTTGACATAGGATATAGCACGATTCCTGCATTTTATTGAAAACATGGAATTGACAGAATGGCAGGAAGAAGGGGCCTATGTTTGCAATACATAAGTATATGTACATAAGTATTCACTGAATGTACAAAATTTAATATTTCAGGAATGGAACATTTCATCATTATTAGGAATATTCTGTTTCTTTTCTGGACCATACTATTCTAGAGTGTGAAAACCTGCACAATCTGGTCCAGTCTTGGAATACTACAAATTGTTTCTGATTCAGAATAATTAACTTTTGAAATGACTAAAGCATCCTTAGAATGACATGATTGCCATGAATCAGAGGTGTGACTGTTTCCAGAGTTTTGTACCTCCTAAATTGAACTCATTGGCATATATTCCTAGAAAAAACATACAAGGTTACATTACTATTTATATGGTTCAGTAATTATAGGCAAAAGAAGGAAGCAAAATTACTGTACAGGTAGTCCTCGACTTATAACCGTAACTGGGACCAGAATTTCCATTGTTAATCAAGATAGAGATGTTAAGTAATAAATAATAAAAAAATAAATAAAATAAGTCAGTCGTGCCTGATTTTATGACATTTTTGCCATGGTTGTTAAGCAAATCACTGGAGTTGTTAAATGAATCACATCAAGCTTCCCTTATTGACTTTGCTTGTCAGAAGTCAAGTGGGGAGATGGCAAATGGCAATCACATAACCCTGGGACGCTGTAACCATCGTAAATGCATGCCAGTTGCCAAGCACCCAAATTTTGTTCATGTGACTATGGGGATGCTGCAATGGGCATAAATGTGAGGACTGGTTGTAAGCCACTTTTTCAGTGTCACTGTAACTTCAAACAGGCACTAAATGAATAGTTGTAAGTTGGGGACTACTTGTAGAAGAAAAAATAACATTTAGAAGTTTCTGATGTTGATTGTTTATAAATTACATTACCTCACACTCCGGCATTCCAATAAAGTGGCAGCCTTGATAAGCAGCCACAGCTTGAGGTAAGGCCAAGGGATCTGCTAATCCTATAATGACATTTTATATTCTAATCAACAATATGATACATCAAATCAAGTTGACTTAAATAAACCGCTACATGGCACCGCCTTTCTATTTGAGGGACTGCTTGTTCTGTGTGCTTCAAAAGACTCGGCTTCCTTCAGGTCTCATTGATTAAGTAAAGTCATCTAGCGGGACCTGAGAGGTAGGCCTTCTGTTGCTGCACCTGTCCTTTAGAGATTCATATGGCCCCTGCCTTAAAGTGATCTTTAAAACCATCCAAATCTAAGGCCTAGATTTTTTCCTAGGCCTTGGATTTGGATGGTTGGGCTGGAAACTTTAAGGTGGGGGAGGGAAATGTACAAAGATGGTCTGTTGTTCTCTTCAACAGTTATTATTTTATGTGTGGTTGGGGGTGGTGGTGGTTTTTTTTTTAGTTGGCAGCCAGAAATTTGATGAGTAAATCAACAGGATTTATTTGGTAAAACTGCCATTAGTAACATATTAAAACAGTGTTTCTCAACCTTGACAATTTTAAGGCATGTGGACTTCAACTCCCAGAATTCCACAGCCAGCATTGCTGGCTGTGGAATTCTGGGAGTTGAAGTCCACATGCCTTAAAATTGTCAAGGTTGAGAAACACTGTATTAAAACCTGCTTTCATAAAGGCAATATCTTGCTGAAATATGGTAGTGCAGTGATTTGAATGCAGTATTGCAGGAAAACTCTGCATTCCCACTGCCAGGAGTTCAATCCTGACCGACTTCCATCCTCCTGAGGTTGGTAAAATGAGGACCCGGATAGTTGGAGGCAATATGCTGACTCCATAAGCTGCTTAGAGAGGGCTGTAAAGCACTATGAAATGGTATATAATTCTAAGTGGTATCTATACTGATTCATAGCCTTTGCTGCTCACTTGTAACCCAAGGAATAAAACACTTCAGGGGATAAACTAGAAGGCAGCTGGATGGAAAGCTATTAGTACATATCAGGGGCATAGAGTAATTGAGAAAAAAATGACTTTCAACCATTAATTAGTTGTTGTCCTCCAGTCTCTGGTTTCAAATGGAGTACCCCAGTTTTACTCTTTTCAAGCCAAATGTCACAGGAAAACAGGTAGATAATTTTTGTTCACTTTGACCTCTTTCCCACAATTTGGGATCTATGATGAAATAGACGTTTTGTCAAAAGGCTATCAAAATAATGAAACTAGGATATTTCATGTATGTTAAACACTATATAAAGGCCTTGTTTGACGAATAGTGAAAGAGGGACGTTAGCCCAAGTCTGCCTGTCTTTATCTGGAAGAAATAACACTGCAATATGCAGGGACTCAGGCTGCAAAGATTTCTGTCATCTTGGAATATTCAAATTACCAGTCAGAATATCAGTTAGCCAACTGGTTTTGATATTGGAGATATCCATATTCATCATCTAAAAACCTGTGCTAGGTAAGTGCAACATAGTTTGTGAGCCATACCTCTATTCAGTAAATTTGTGGATTTACAGGCAAGCACATTTCCAGTTTCAATGAACCAAATACCTTTTTCATAATTATATCTATTAAACAGTCAGTTGACTCCTAATGGTATAATGTTGACTGTTATAGCATGAACTTCTGTTTACATTAGAACTGGAATTCTCAAAAAATGAGCTGATTTGACTTCTGGCCAAACTCTGGTTCCAAAGTAAATATCTCAAGGACTGTCACCTGCTCCTTTGTAGTTGCCCTGGAAGCAGGTTTTTCTACTTGCACTATATTGTAAGGAGAATGGGATTAGACTGTTACTTGTGTTTTGGAAGAAAAGCTGAGTTGGCAGCATGGGGGAGAGACTGCAGAGCTGGAGACAAAACTACTAGAGGGGCTATGAGGATGAAAGTGTCCATAGAAACCCACATTCTCTTGAGTTACTCACCTATATCTTCACTTGCAAATCTTACCAACCTTCTTGCTACATAGAGTGGATCCTCACCCCCTTCAAGCATTCGGGCAAGCCAGTAAAGGGAAGCATTTTCGTCAGAGCCACGCATAGATTTATGAAGTGCAGAGATGCAGTTATAATGCTCTTCGCCTATTGAGAAACAGACCAAAAGCAACACAATGCTTAGATCATCTGAGTAGCAGTGCAATTTAAATGCCCGTTTTTCCAATGAATATATTAATTACAACATGCCTGCATTACCTTTAAAGAGAGATAAAAGTTGCATTCTTCAAAGTACCTGGGGGCAAAGAGCCTGCTGCATAGTTGTTGTTTTTTGTTCCCAGATTTAAGATGCTTCTTGTGGGACATTGCATCGAATTATATTATATTATATTGTATTATATTGTATTATATTGTATTATATTGTAATATTATATTATATTATGTTATGTTATGTTATGTTATGTTATGTTATGTTATGTTATGTTATGTTATGTTATGTTATGTTATATTATATTATATTATATTATATTATATTATATTATATTATATTATATTATATTATATTATATTATATTATATTATATTATATTATATTATATTATATTATATTATTATATTATATTATATTATATTGGTGTTATAGCGCATTACAATATTCAGGATTGCACAATTATTTTAATGCTCATTTACATTGTGTTTTGTTCCTAAACTTAGTTCACCATCCAGAGATAAGAGGGACATCTAAATGAATCATACAAGTTATGTTACCTTTGACAGAGAAAATACATACAAAAGCAATTCTACAGAAATGCACAGCTAACTCAAGTATCTGAATTCCTTCCCAGTACTGCCATGAGGGCTGTTATATCTGCCACTCACCAGCTCGGTCATACAAAATGTGGGATCTTTGGAGTCCTTCCTTCACGTGATCTTCTGTGATGACCACTCGTTTGGCAGAACATTCATGGTTGTTATCCTGATGGGAGGTGTCGGTTAATCTTGCCTGGACAGCCATCTGGAGCCCATTTAGCCCAGTCCTTGCATCACCATCACAAAGGTAGGCAAGACTATTTAATGCTCTTTTTTCAATACATAACCTGAAATAAAAACATAGGTCATATAAAGAACAGTTGCTGGAATTGGGTATGTCTAGTTTAACGAAGAGAAGGACGAGGGGAACATGATAGCAGTGTTCCAATATCTCAGGGGCTGCCACAAAGAAGAGGGAGTGAAGCTATTTTCCAAGGCGCCTGAAGGCAGGACAAGAAGCAACGGATGGAAACTAACCAAAGAGAGAAGCAACCTAGAACTAAGGAGAAACTTCCTGACAGTTAGAATAATTAACCAGTGGAACAACCTGCCTCCAGAAGTGGTGAATGCTCCAATACTGGAAGGTTTTAAGAAGAGACTGGACAGCCATTTGTCTGAAATGGTATAGGGTTTCCTGCCTGAGCAGGGAGTTGGACTAGATGACCTCCAAGGTCCCTTCCAATTCTGCTATTCTATTCTATTCTATTCTATTCTATTCTATTCTATTCTATTCTATTCTATTCTATTCTATTCTATCTTTATCCTATCCTATCCTATTCTATCCTATCCTATTCTATTCTTTTACATTGGGACATAGAGAGCGAGAGAGCAAATCAGACTACGGTCTTATCCTCATGAAATCATTCCAAATTATCACAGAAGCTTTACAAAGAATATGTCATCTGTCTCCTTGGTTTTGACATCAGAATGTTAAAAATATATAATGTGGTCAAGTTAAACATTCTTCTGAGTCCTTTTTTGTCATTTGATAACAAATAGAAGACAAAGTGATAGCAAGCTTTAATCTGTACATGTCACATTCAAACCAGGTTAGGGAATCATTCCAAACCCATAAAAATTAAAACCTGAACCATATTTTGCCCTGAATTGAAACAGAACTTACACCATTAACTGCTTTATTTATTCTGTTGAATAGGAACAAAGACAAAAAGTGAAACGACAAAATATCAGGCTGTAGTTATAACAGAATACCTTGGTTTACCTTTCTTTCCCTCCATGCAGACAAATAAATGCCCAGCAAGGAGGTCGACCTGTTTGAACTCTTTTAGAAGGTGCTGAAACATCAGTGTAAATTACAGTATGCCACCTGATAATCATGTTCCCTTAAGTTTATTTTAAAATTAATCCTTCAAAAACAAAATTGACCATTGAGAATTTTTTTTTAAAAAAAAATATCATCCTAAAATTTTCAAAGGCAGCCAATAAAATTAATAAGGTTTGTGAAGATGACATGGTTGTACATGGTTGGAGTGGTATCTGAAGTTGAAGGACATTATCGTTTGTCAGGATCAGAATATTTATTGGTCACCGTGAGGCTAATGGGCACTACTGACCTCTGAAGGAAGAACTGATTAAGAAGGGCCATGCCAGTTGCCTTCTGGATCGCGTGCATTTTGAGTGGGCACTTGGGAGTTTCCCAACAATTTGCTGGGCTGCTCGAGTGCCAAGTAGCTCGCTAGAATATAAAAACAATGAATAAAGCAGTGGTTCTCAACCTTTTTAATGCCGCGACCCCAACCGGTCGTACGTCGAGGACTAAACCGGTCGTAAGTCGAGGACTAAACCGGTCGTAAGTCGAGGACTACCCAACCGGTCGTAAGTTGAGGACTTTCCCGGCCCGGGAGTGCCGCGCATGCGTGGTTCCGCCCCCTGCGCCGGCCGAGACGTAGCTGGCAAGCGGCAGAGACGGAGCAGGCCGACCACCAGCTGGCCCAGCCCAAGGGAGGTAAGGCACCCGCCGGAAAAGGGGAAAAAAATGGCGGACAGCCTTGCTTGGCGACCCCCGTGAAATGGTCGATCGACCCCAAATGGGGTCCCGACCCACAGGTTGAGAACTACTGGAATAAAGAGATACTGATAGAAGCAACAGGGTCCTGTAAACGGTCTCCCTCTTCATGCTGATCCAGGAATGCTTCTAGATTAACTAAGGAGCTATGGGAGGTGAAGCAACTGAAGAGATACTTAGAGCTATACTGGTGAAAGACTAGCAGAGCATATGAACAAACACAAGAGTCCCTGTTCAGGTTACATTTTGGCGGTAAAGGAGGCAATTTCAATATCTCTCCATCCTTACTGTGTTTGCAGACTGCCATCCAGTGGCCTTGTTTAAGATTTCTGCTCTCTTCTCAATAATGATGAGTCACAAGAGCTCTCCAGGCTGCTATGAATTTGTTTGCTAGGTGGATTGCGGACGAAGCCATTGATATTCAGAGCAGCACCAAATCTAATCCCATGACAGGGATAGTATTATCTTTAGTGCTGGTACTGCAAATGAACCCAGCATTGCCAGAATATCTGCAATTCACTTGTGGAAGAATGTCAATGGAACCAGAAGCAACTAGAGCTGTTGGCTGGGATGCAGCACACACATACACCCACACACCCAGTTTGATGTAATGGTTCTGGTGCTGGAATACAAACCCAGAACTTCTGAGTTCTAGACATAGAAGCCATCTGGATGACTTTGCGTCAGTCAGTTTTTCTCAAACCATCCTCCCCTCCACAACAGAGTTGTGGGGAAAATAGGAGGAGGAGGAGAAGAAATTGTACAACACAAGAAGTTGTACAAAAAGAAGGCTGTTTAAAACTGATATTCTTGTTCTTGCTTCTGTTTTCCCCCCTTCTTTTCTGCCCACTTTTTATTTTCATACCCTCTAGAAGTGCCCTTAGGAGCAGAGATTTACCACATCACATAATACTTTACCAGAACAAAATCCCAACCCTATACATAAATAATCATTTGCATGGACAAGCAGTTTATTTATTTATTTAATTTATAAACTTTATTGGCCGCCCATCTTACCACAGCGTAATTCTATTCTTAAGTTTATTCTTAAATTCTATTTACAGGTAGTCCTCACTTACTAACCACCGCTGTTTACTGACCGTTTGAAATTATAATGGTGCTGAAAAAGTAACTTTACAACCAGTCCTTGCACTTATGAATGCTGGACTGTCCTGGTGCTCCTCAACCAGCCATCATTTATGACCATCACAGTATATCACTGGAGAAACTGGCAGTAAAATTGCAAGTCTCAGCCACTTGGTGTCTCAATTAATGTTTAGCATCCATGGGTGATTGGCTTAATGACCATGGTGAAAGTGAAGTCATAAGCCAATCGTTATCATGTAATGTTTCATTTGAGAACCATGTTGCTTAGTGATGGAATTTCTAATCCCAATTGTATTTGTTAATCAAGGACTGCCTGTATTCAGTTCTTTATAGATAAGCCACTTCTGAGGTGGCTTATCACACAAGTAGTATAATGATAAAATAGCAGGAATATTCTAGGGCTGTGAAGAGCTTTGAATTCAAAGGCAGAAAAGGGCTCTGGAGGAAGCGGGAAGCCCTCATACAGTTTGTAACTCCTTAAAATAGCTATGTTTCCTGGGATCACTCAGCAGCCACTACAACCTGCCATACATTAAGACAGAACAGCCTTCAATAAAGTTGTCAAGTTTATATACTATGGTGTTACTTTATGTTGTATGATGACACAACAGTTTGCTAGACAATTATCTGAATGACAATGATTTGAATGATTTTTTTCCTTTGAGTAGACATCTGTTTGTTAGTTCAATTCTGTTTCAGCTTTATTCTTCATTTTAGTATTTTTTCTTCACATCTATGTGTCAATTTAGCATATTTAGTTCATTACTTCTACAGATACAACTAGTTATCTTCCTAGTGAATACAACATAAAAGAACAACTAAAAATTCAAGTCTAGATTTGACTTTAATCACATCAGATGCAGATTTGGGGGAACACCTGCATATGTGAACGCTCTATGTTAATCTCTTGCTCTGTAGGATTGAGGCCAACAAGTCCACAGCTTTATCTGCACCCTGCTCTTATTTACCACATACAGAGGAATATCTTCCACCAAATGTATTGTGGGGAGCAAGTTGATAAAGATTAGAAAACCTGCTCCAGCAGGATTGTTCCCCTCCCAAAATAAAACAGGAATTATATGCTCTATGGCAGAGGTCTTCAAACTTGGCCCTTTTATGACATGTGGCCTTCAACTCCCAGAATTCCTCAGCCAGAGTGCCTGGCTGAGGAATTCTGGGAGTTGAAGTCCACAAGTCATAAAAGGGCCAAATTTGAAGACCCCTGCTCTATGGGAAGGATCAGAGATCCCTTGATGTGTATATATCTCAAGGAAAGCCTATTTACATATGTATGCATAATTTTTAAAATGTTATTTGTAAGCTGCCTAATTTAGAACATTTGTGTTTCATCTTCATATTCAAGGGTATTTGTGTTTATATAGATAGTTGTATTTCTATTCTCAAATACAAATATTTATATTAAATACATACTAGATGTCATTTGGCAATGCACAATATTTGCCAGATGATAACTATATTTTTTCATAAGAAGAACCAGTTCCCCACAGGTTTGACTGATCCTGCAGAATAGCCAAAACACTTAGTATAACTTCACATATCTTTTCTCCTATGCCAGGTAAAGACAATTATATCACTACTGAGATTTCTGTGTCTGACAGAGGAATATGCTAAATTATCAATAACTAAGAGAAGGCCAATTCGCTTTTCTCATCCCTGTCAACATACAGAATAGCCTTATTAAATCATGGCTGGCCAGGGAATATTATGTAATGGCTGCTGCTTATTTTACTTTCAATCCAGATATGTTTATGGTCTTTACTGACCATCAAGCTTAGTGAAGCAGCTCTCTTATGCAGTATCTTCCCACATGATTTAGGAAAAATTATAGCAACTCCCATGGTATTAAACACAAAAGCACTTTGTTGGACTGAATTTTCCTACTTGCTTCATATCGCTTCTGCAGATTATTAGGCTGCAGTCCATTTGCTATCTCTTAGATGCCACTAAGTTTGTAAATGAGCTGAAGCTGACTAAAAGGTTATTTTTAAAAGCAAAGTGAGCCGAGCAAGTACAGATCAGGTCACAGTGCTTGTCTGAAATTAAAGCCCAATTTTTAAAAAGTTAAAAACAGAAATGAGTCAGTTAAAAGTCTGAACTTAAAGGTTCTTGCAAAAAAATAAACAAATAAAACCA